TCCACGTACCAAAAACCTCAGACCCGATGGTTGTGGTGGATATGTGGAGAATGGGCATACAAGAAACTCCCCTCCAAATGGAGTGGGACTTGTTTCCTGGGATGGGTATTACCACCAATGTGGATTTGCCCACTAGTTCAGCCAAGCGAACACGAAGAAATGCTGATATTTCTCGTATAGCAGGAGGAAGTACCCTAAGTTGGAGCGGTACTGATGATTGGCCGCCAGAGCGCATAATAGCCTATTATGATCCTGCCTCCTGGAATCCTGGAGAGCTCATACAAGGGGCACGGGATCCTATTTATAATCTAAACAGAATAATTCGATTACAAGCAGTAGTGGAACTTGTAACCAATGCAACGGCCCAGAGTTTGAGACTTATTGCACGACAGTTGGATGACTTGCCAGGCAGGGAGGCCTGTGTGGAGTCTTGAACTTGACAGGGAATGCCTGTTGCTTTAACATTTCAGATAATGGTTTTATGTATGGTGCCATGTATCATCTCATGTTTTAGGAGTACAATTAGCAAGATGATTTCAAATGAAAGTTTACCTCATATCATGGCACTATATAGAGCCTTACCTCAGGAATATGATGTAGATCAAGCTATCAAGGACGCTTGGTAGCCAGGTCCTTGAGCTTGAAAGGGGGGAATGTGGCATCTGAATATAGACTGCATTTTTAATCAAGACTTATATTGGCTTATATTTTGATCAGGTTCCTAAAATTCTAAAAATAATGTTTCTTCCAAGGTAGAAAACCAGCAAGCGGCTCCAGCAAGCAGCTGGCAAGCAAAGGGCCCCCTGGTTTATTGCGGTCATAAAAAGGCTGAGAAGCAGGTCACTGACCTTGCATGCTGTAGAGTACAACTAAGTTGTAAAAGTGGTAGGTAAACAGTAAAATAAAACCATGGGCCTCTCTTAAACTTGAGCCACAGGACAAAAGGCCAAGGGCACACGGAAAACAAGCAACTGGCTGGAGAAGGGGGGGGGAGTATGAACAGAGGAAGAGGCTTCTTATTTCCTATTTTATTTTGAGGCTGTAAACTGTTCCTTCCTTTCTACTTTGAGAAGCTTTAAGGTTACCTATGATAATGTATGAAATATATTGGCATAAATGTAACTATGCAAAGGATTTAGAAAGTAACAAATTTAGATGTTAGATTCTTATTTCATAGAATCATAGAGTCCTAGAGTTGGAATAGACCACAGGGGCCATTGAGTCCAGCCCCCTGCCAGAAATGAGACGCCAATCGAGCAATCCTGATATATAAGTTGTCAGACATTTGTTTAGAAACCTTCAAATGAAGGAGATCTTTCAATATTGATGTGAAACTCAAGATCCTTGACATATGTTTAAGATAAAAATTTAAGATTAACCATTTGTTTTAGAAGGCAATAGGGCAAGGAGGGCAAGAGGTGAGCTGGTAATTAAGATTCCATGTAAGATATATTATTACTTATTTGTCATTTATATATAGCTCTTTGTCTCCCTTATAAGGACAGGAGGATATGAGTGTATTTTTGTGATTGGTTATACTAATCAGCCAATAGGAATTTCAACCAGGCTGATGGGACAGAGGCAGCCACAGGAGGAGCAAAGGGGGCTGGATTAAGGGAATATAAGTGCTGGCCATAATGGCAGGAGGCAGGCCAGAGCTTGGTAATCATATACCACTGTGCCTCTCATTTATTTGTCTGACAAATAAATAATTATTTAATTTCTCTATTGCTGCGTTGAATATTTCATTCCAGCTAAGCGTTAACCACAAGCAGGGTGCTACAGGGTGAGCAGGGTCAAAATGTGGGCCAGGCCAAAGCTGTCAATGGACACAGCCGCTCCACAGTTTCTCACCCACATGCAAATACATGCAACACACAAACATACCAGTGAGGGTGAGAGACATTTGGCCTTCAAGAAGTTGCTGAACTACAACTCCCACCAGCCCTAGGAAGCATGACCAATGTTCAGGAATGATGGGAGTTGCAGTTCAGCAGTATCTGGAGGGCCAAATGTTCCCCACACCTGCTGTACACACAAACGCGCGCACACACACATCCCGACATCTTCACATCCTGTATATCTATCATATAGATGATGATAGATAGATAGATGATAGATAGATAGATAGATGATAGATGATAGATGATAGATAGATAGATAGATAGATAGATAGATGATAGATAGATAGATAGATAGATAGATAGATAGATAGATAGATAGATGATAGATAGATAGATAGATGATAGATATAGATGATAGATAGATAGATAGATAGATAGATAGATAGATGATAGATAGATAGATAGATAGATAGATAGATAGATAGATAGATGATAGATAGATAGATAGATGATGATAGATAGATGATAGATAGATAGATAGATAGATAGATAGATAGATGATAGATGATGATGATGATAGATAGATAGATAGATAGATAGATAGATAGATAGATATAGATAGATGATAGATAGATAGAGATGATAGATGATAGATAGATAGATAGATAGATAGATAGATAGATGATAGATAGATAGATAGATAGATAGATAGATAGATAGATGATAGATAGATAGATGATGATAGATAGATAGATAGATTAGATAGATGATAGATAGATAGATAGATAGATAGATAGATAGATAGATAGATAGATGATAGATAGATAGATGATAGATAGATAGATAGATAGATAGATAGATAGATATAGATAGATAGATAGAGATAGATGATAGATAGATAGATAGATAGATAGATAGATAGATAGATAGATTAGATAGATAGATAGATAGATAGATAGATAGATGATAGATAGATAGATGATAGATAGAGATAGATGATAGATAGATCGATCTATCTCACACAGAGAACTCTTTCCTGCAACCCAGCTAGGCAAAATCATTAACTTTCCTTCTTTTGCTATCAGTGTACAACAACTTTCACCCCCTGCTTCCCACAGGTTAATGACAGTGACAAATGGCACATCCTACAAGGAGAGCACACTGCTGTTAGATGATTACATCAAGCAGCTTATTAAGGCGACTGTGGCAGTTGCAATCTCCATCTTTCCAGTGTAGTTTCAAGCTACCAGGAACACTTGTCTGAAAACAAACTGTATTAGCCCCCGAATGTGATGCTCCTGGAGAAAGGGCTAATAACACGGGTGGAGCCTTTTCGTTCAGTTCTCTGTGTCATCTCAGCCCCCGCTGTGAACAGAAAGAACAGCGCTGCCTCCATCTGATATATTTTGGGAGGCGGTTTGGAAAGACCTTGTGAGGCAGGCACAGTAGTCTGCTTCCCAGTGCCAGGGCGAGGGTAAATAGCAGAGCAAAAGACACAAGTGTGGGTTAAGGAGACGTTATGAAGCTAAAGAGAGGCAGGAGGAGGTTTTCAGACAAGGGCTCAAGAAATGTTGTTTGGTAGTCCAATAGCAGAGGTTCTAGGCTTGGAAGGAAAAAGCTGCTTTAAGAGCTGCTTCTTTTACACTGAGCAGATGATCAGCTTGAGGTAATCTTTACCTCCTGTTTTCAGCATGCAGTGCTGCGTAAATGTTAGCAAAACAGCAGAAGCTTTGCTTTCATACTTTGCTTATTGTGGAGAATTTGATGCAAGGGGAGTTGGCTGGTGGCAGGCAGAAGAAAGAGAGGGGTACATCTGGACAGCTGCTCTTGCCTCACACCTCTGTAGCTTGGCAAGCAATTACGGAGGCACATGAAAACAAGCCAAAGTTAAGCCAGGAAGCTGGGTTCTGATGTAACGACAAACCACAGTTAAGCCATGATTCATAGGCCAACAACAAACCATGGCTTCAAATAGCACTGCAAGTTTGGACAACCCATCACTTAGTCTTATATGTAAACACGGCCAATGCTACTGGTTAGCCATTGCCAAACTTTGCCCTAATGCATCTTCTGTGAGGAAAACGACTGTTCATGCCTCCCAAACCATACAGAGGATTGGTTCGCACATTTGCATTCTTCATGTGCTTTCTCACCACTTGATTACCACAATTTGTGTCCCATTTTGTTTCCCATCTATATATTATGCAGAAGAAACACTTGCAATCAAACAGTCATATTACTTTATTATAGAACACTCCAAGGAATGCAATTTACTTAAGTACAAAAGCAATTTGATGAGCGAATAGACTTATTTTAATACATTGATTATATGATACAATTTCTACATCAAACTTTCATTGCACTTGATGATATTGGATTGATAAACAAACTTTCTTAAAACGATTAATGTGACTGGAAGAAATGAGCACAAGATATTTTTAGCTATTCAATGCAGATACCTTTAGGTAAAATCCTGCAAGCCTTTTCAGATTCTACAATAGCAACACCCACTCCAAGGAAGGTCATGACTGCAGAAGGAATGCAGAGCTTGACCATGTCTGAATTAATCTAAAACTAAGTTGAGATCACAGAATAATTTTCATTAGCTAAAAATTAAAACATGAACTCCTTTTGGAGGTTTTATCCAGCACAACTTCCCACAACCTGGTGTTTTCTGGATATTGTTGGCCCACAACTCCTGTTATCCCTGACTGTTGGCTGTGCCCAAACTTTTTTCAAAGAAGGCCAGATTTGATGAAGTGAACATGCGTGAGGGCCGAGCAAAGTTGTTGAGCTTTCTTTAGGATTGAAGTTGCTGAGCTTTTTTTTAGGATTTTATACCAGGAAATATACTGCCATGGGGGCCAGATTGAATCAACCAGTGGGCCAGATTAGGCCCCTAAAACAGACTTTGGACTTGCCTGGCTTAAGGGAACTGAAGGCCAAAACATCTGGAGAACATCAGGGAAACTAGCTGAACCAAACCACTGCCAAAAATAAAACCTTTATTACATTTTATTATGCAACAATAAAAATTTACTCTGAAATAGGTTCTACGTGCTTTAGTGCAATACAATTAATAAACATGCCTTTTTAAAGAAATATTATAAATATATGGATTGCGGACTATGATATGGATTGTAAAATATGCTTCTTTAAAATAAACAAGAGAGAAAGGGGGGGGGGATTCTTGGTAATGCATTCAAATCCAGACACCATACTTATAGTAAGGTGTCAAGCATTTCATCAGGATATAAGAGGAAACCAGAAAATATGCTGTCATCTTCAGCACTAACATAAACCCCATTCCAGTCTCGCGTGACCTCCAGCCAAACTTGATCCCCTATGTTTAATTTCAGAATGGTTAGGAAGGAAGCCTGGTCTATCTCTTGCCCATACAAGGTCTCCCGAGACCTGACCATCTTCCTGTTTTGGCACACAATGCTGATGCGGGCAGGGCGCCCTCGGATGGTCATGTGGTAGGAGAAGACATAAGCCCCAGCGATGGTGCAATTAAACTTCCCTGTCGAGGGATTGTAATCTTCCTGGTCATTGTACAGAATCTTGTCAAACTTAATAGGCATGTTGGGAGGTGGGAAAGGTTTGGACAGGCCAACGCTGAAAGCTGATCTGGGGGGGCTTGAGATCTCGCCCTTTGACCCCTTGGGACCTTTTGCTCCTTTCTTCCCAGGGGGTCCCCTGATTCCTTTGAAGCCGGTCGCTCCTTTCACCCCAGGGGGTCCCATTATCCCAATTGGCCCAGGGTCACCTTTGTCCCCCCTAAAACCTTGGTCTCCTTTTTCTCCCTTCTGCCCATCCATCCCATGGATCCCCTCGACCCCCATGTCTCCTTTGACACCTTTGTCTCCTTTGGGCCCAATCTCCCCCCGTTCTCCCTGATCACCCTTATCGCCAGGATCTCCACAGTAGCCCTTTTCCCCAAGCTCCCCCTTTTCTCCCTTCTCCCCGTTTTCCCCATCAATCCCTGGCAAGCCCAGCTCCCCTTTATCTCCCTTCTCTCCTTTGGTGCCGTTCTCACACGTTTCACCCTTGTTGCCCTTCTGCCCCTTGGCGCCCGGCAGGCCATAGTTTCCTTTGTCTCCTTTGAATCCCATTTCACCTAGAAATAGTAAAGACACAAATATAGGGTCACGGGGTCAAGTAAACCACAAGGGACATTGCAGCCTAGTCCACAGGCTAATTTCTTGCAGGCCTCCTCCCTGCTCAGCACAGCTGGTTAGCTTAAATAAATGCTGAGCAATCCCAATGGGAAAGCTCTTTGAATAGCAAGGGCCTGTAGCTCAGTGGCAGAGCATCTGATTTGCATGTAGGAGGTCCCAGATTTAATCCCTGGCGTCTCCAGGTAAGCCTGGGAATGTCCTCTATCTACTACCACCCTGGAGAGCCACTGTCCCTCACTGTGGATGATAGTGAGCTAGATGGACCAATCGTCTGACTCGGTATATGGCAGCTTTCCAACACTTATCAGCAGTTTTTTGAGGGAGAGGAACGTGTGGTGAGATTGGGTCTGGGAACATCTGAGGACCACTATAGTTCTCAGCTGTTCCAAGGAGAAGTCGGCTCGCAGCGCCCCCTCCAAATACCTCACACATCTCCCAGAACATGATGCAGGGCTTCGCAGGTGTGTGATTACCTGGTTTCCCTGGCCCTCCTATCACAAAAGAGGATGCTATTCTTTGCAAAGGTCCATTAGGCATAGAACTGTACATGTGAAGCAGGGGCACCAACTTGCCCCCACATACACGCACTGGTGGGCAGTGTCACATGACATGTCCCACCCCCACCCGGTGCACCAACACTCTCCCGTTAGCAGCAGGGGATGGCAACCCCCTCAATATTGGGGGGGGGGCTCAGCCCCCTGCCCACAAATATTGAGGGGGCCGAAGCCCCTTTCGCCCCCTATGGTTGGTGCCCCTGATGTGAAGTCATAACGTCTCATGGGGATCCAAGAACCCCTCCACCGGGGAAGGAACTTTGTGACGATGTAATTGTATTGACTAGAAGAGTTGTGTAGCCTGGTGTGATTAAAAGGAGAAAGGGGAAAACTTGAAGAGAAGCACAGGACTACAAGAAATGGCAATTTGAGGATGTCATTCCCAACCAGGTGCCATAGCAAATTATAGCTGTTGGTTGCTTCTCTAGCAAAATGATCTAGTATGTGTTGGGAGTAAACGGCGACACTTGCAATTCGCTACCTGAATGGGGGGGGCAATAAACTGAAAGACAACCTGTTCTTACTCCTCAAATAGTCCTTCTCTTCTAGTAGCTGCTTGTTGATTAAGAAGATCATTTCCTTTCGGACTTTGCTTCCTTCCTGCTTCACTCCAAGTTCTAGCCAGTTACAGTATGAGCTACTGCCTCCATTTTGGCCACATGTAAAGCCAGAATGGCTTTGTTTGCCATGTCTTTATTTTTATGTTTCTTTTATTTTTTCAGTCAGCATTCTTATTAGATTATTTCTTTCTACACATGCACAAACATACTTTACCAAACTATAACAGCATTATATATATATATATATATATATATATATATATATATATATATTCCACTCCTGTAACTTCGTATCCTACTCCATCTCCCATCTGCTCAGTTTTTCACATGGTTTTGTGATTTTCTGGGCCTCTTTTCCCTTGTCACCAGGCCTCACTCATTCATCCACCTCCCACCCCAGAACTCGGCACTGATCCACTACAAGCAGTATACAATCTGTGCTTAGCATTGACATGTGACAGCTGGGCATATGGTGACAACTTGTGGCCAATGGAAGAGATTGGGTTCAACGAGAGTGTAAAATTCTTATGCTTTATGAACAGCCCCATCTCCCTAACTCTCATCAAATTTAATGTGGCATACCTTGTTCTCCTGTCTTGCCTGGAAATCCCGGGATTCCATTTGCTCCTTGGGCTCCATGTTCTCCTTTATCTCCTGTGACATTTTTACAATACAATGTTCTGTTATTGGTGTTCTTTGGAATGTCCCTACATGTCAAATGACTTATACATCACATTTCATCTCTTGCCTTTCACTCAAAATGAGGGCACGTCTCGTTCCAAACAAACATATAGTAAGTAAACATTTTAGGTTGCATTCCATGAATTCAATTGTTCGTCAGGTAATTGTGACCTGTGAAAGAAGGTTTCCTGATACAAAGATGGTCAGACAAATAGAATAAATTCTGCTGGAATCATAGAATTGTAGAGTTTGATCTAAGGGTCATCTGGACCAACCCCCTGAAATGCAGGAATCACAGGTAGTCCAATCCCTGAGAGTTGGACATCCAACCTTGGTTGGTTGGTTGGTTGGTTGGTTAATTGCTTGGCTGGCCTCATCTGACTCAAGCACACCCGCCTCCTCCTCCTCCTCAGTAGGCTGCCTCAGCCTCATCTAAAGATCTGGGGGCAAGGCGCCCACGAAACTGCTGCTACTGCCAGCAACAGCAGCAGGGTGCGCAATGAAGAGCATTCCCTGCCTCTTGAGAGAGGCGCAGGCTGAGGGAGAGGGTGTGCTATTTTGTTTTCCTTCTGAAATTTTGCACCCCAATAGTTTTGCACCCAAGGCATCTGACCCTTTGGACCCCTCCCCCCCCCCCCATGCTATGCCAGTGTCTGTGATTGTAAGTTGTTTTAGACTTTTCTTAACATTGAGGGTTGTAACGCAGTCTGGAACCTGAGGGTGAAGGGCAAGATGATGCTAACCCTATTGGAGGTCAGAAGCTGAAAAAAGAGGTTCAAGCCTAAAAATGTGAAAGAAGTTGGGGTTTCCTTCATTTCGCGCTCCGAAGACATTACTGTGCGAAACTGATCCCCATTCATTTTTCAAACAGTTCACTTGTGTGTCCATACCTTTGTCTCCTTTGAATCCTCTTGCACCTTGTAGTCCAGGACTTCCTGGTAGACCCTGAAGTCCTTTTTCTCCCGCCTCTCCTTTCAGACCTATTTACAGAGTGGACATTTGAAAAATCTGCTGCAAGCAAAACAAAAAGTCTTGTAGCATCTTGAGGGCTAACCACTTCAATATCTCATGAGACTTACGCCGTGACAGATTGCTGTTGGTCTCGAAAGCTTCACAAGATGTTGTGTTGCCTTTGCTGCAACAGAGCAGCAGGCCTGTCCCCCTGGAAGCAAGTTGCATGACCACACAAATTTGCCAACAAGGCACTGACATATTCCCCTTTACACTGCATCTAGTTTCACAGACACTAAATAAGAATGAAGATTACTCAGTGATGTTGTTGTTATCAAACTAGCAGACTTTTGAAATCCTAAAACAGATGTATACGTCATTAGCCATGGAAGCTAAATACAGGAATGCTCAAGTTACAGAGGGGCCTGAAGAAGGGACCTTTTGTTTTTTTGTTTTTTTTTTTATAAAATTTTTATTGGTTTTAGAAACTTTTTAAACAAAAAACAAACAAACACCAAAAATGACAAACATACACGTATAGTTTCAAACATATTTTCATAAACTTCTTTCCTTTGACTTCCCCATACCCCCCCTCTCTGCATCCCAGTGTCCAAAGTTCAACTAGCAACTCCCAATTGTTATTTTCCAATCTCTATCTTCTTAGTCCTTTTTTAATTTTCTAACCTTATATCCCTGTATCCCTTTGTTTCTGAAAACCGCAACATTTTAGCATTCATTAAGTTTATAGTAGTCCTTAAGATAACTTTTAAATTTTCTCCATTCTTCTTCCACCGTCTCTTTTCGTTGGTCACGGATTCTGCCTGTCATCTCGGCCAGTGTCATATAGTCCATCACTTTCATCTGCCATTCTTCCAAAGTGGGTAGATCTTGGGTCTTCCAATACTTTGCGATGAGTATTCTTGCTGCTGTTGTAGCATACATAAAGAAAGTTCTATCCCTCTTTGTCACCAATTGGCCGACAATGCCCAAGAGAAATGCCTCTGGTTTTTTCGAGAAGGTACATTTGAGTACCTTTTTAATTTCATTATAGATCATTTCCCAGAAGGCCTTAATCTTCGGGCATGTCCACCAAAGGTGGTAGAAGGTACCTTCAGTCTCTTTACACTTCCAACATTTGTTATCGGGCAGATGATAAATTTTTGCCAGCTTGACTGGGGTCATGTACCACCTGTAAATCATTTTCATTATGTTTTCTCTTAAGGCATTACATGCCGTAAACTTAACACCGGTGGTCCATAACTGTTCCCAGTCGGCAAACATAATGTCATGACCAATGTCTTGTGCCCATTTAATCATGGCTGATTTCACCGTTTCATCCTGTGTATTCCATTTCAGCAACAAATTATACATTCTTGACAAATTCTTAGTGTTGGGTTCTAACAGTTCAATTTCTAGTTTCGATTTATCCACTTGAAAGCCAATTTTCCTGTCCTGTTTGAAAAGCTCCATTACTTGGTAGTATTGAAGCCAGTTTTGTACTTTATCCTTCAATTTGTCATAACTTTGTAATTTCCACTTATCTCCATCCTGTTCCAAAATTTCCCAATACTTCGGCCATCCGACCTCCATATTGAGTTTCTTTACTGCTTTAGCCTCGACTGGTGACACCCATCTAGGGGTTTTGTTTTCCAACAGATCTTTATATCTCATCCATACATTAAACAGTGCTTTTCTAACAATGTGATTTTTAAAGGCACTATGCTGCTTAATTTTGTCATACCATAAATATGCATGCCAACCAAAAACATTATTAAAGCCTTCCAGATCCAAGATGTCTGTGTTCTCGAGGAGCATCCATTCCTTCAACCAGCAAAAAGCTGCTGCCTCATAATACAATTTTAAGTCCGGCAGGGCAAACCCCCCTCTTTCTTTAGCATCTGTCAATATTTTAAATTTAATTCTGGGCTTTTTGCCCTGCCAGACAAATTTCGAAATATCTTTCTGCCACCTCTTAAAACATTCCATCTTGTCGAGAATCTGCAAGGTCTGAAACAAAAATAACATTCTAGGCAATACATTCATTTTAATCACTGCAATTCGGCCTAACATTGACAATTTCAAATTTGACCATATTTCTAGATCTCTTTTAATTTCTGACCAACATTTTTCATAGTTGTCCTTGTACAAATTCAAATTTTTAGATGTTAAGTATACCCCTAGGTATTTCACCTTCTTAACCACTGTCAAACCTGTCTCCTCTTGAAATTTCTCCTTTTCCATATCTGTTAAATTTTTCCCTAAAACTTTTGTTTTTTGCTTATTCAACTTAAATCCAGCTACCTGGCCAAACTGTTGTATTATTTCTAAAGCCTTTTTCGTACTAGTGTTTGGCTCTTGCAAAGTCAATACTAAGTCATCTGCAAACGCTCTCAACTTATAATGTTTAGCTCCGACCTGCACCCCTTTGATCTGCTGGTCATTTCTTATCATATTCAGCAACACCTCCAGAACTGAGATAAAAAGTAATGGGGAAATCGGGCACCCCTGTCGTGTTCCTTTTTCTATCTTAAGTTCCTCAGTCACAACATTATTTACAATCAGTTTAGCTTTTTGTTCTGAATATATTGCAGCCATACCATTCTCAAAACCCTGGCCTACCCCCATCCCATGAAGATTCTTCCTCATAAAGCTCCAAGAAATATTGTCAAAGGCTTTCTCCGCATCCACAAAGATCAGTACTGCTTTAGTGTTTATATTCACCTCTAGCTTTTCCAGAATATCTATTACATTCCTTACATTGTCTGCCAGGTGTCTTTTAGGGAGAAAGCCTGCTTGGTCCCTATGAATCTTCTCCATCAACACTCTTTTAAATCTCTTTGCCAAAATGTCTGCAAAAATTTTGTAATCCACATTAAGCAATGATATTGGGCGGTAGTTCTTAAGTTGGGTCTTTTCAGTCTCTGATTTTGGTATGAGTGAAATATATGCTTCTTTCCACGATTCAGGTGCCTTTTTTCCCTCAAGGATCTCATTACAAACTTCTCTTAGTGGTTGAATCAACCATTCCTTCAACGATTTATAGTATCCGGAAGTCAGTCCATCTGGTCCTGGAGATTTGCCCAGTTGCATATTCTGAATGGCAGCCTCTATCTCTTGTTCTGAGATTCTCTGGCTCAAATCCATCTTACTTTGGTGAGAGATGCTTTGTAATCCATATTTTCCAAGGAATTTATCTATGTCTTCTTCATTTTGCGGGCCTTGAGTGTAAAGTTTTTTGAAATAACTTAGAAAGCAGTTTCTGATTTCATTGGGTTTAGATATATTTTTCCCATCCACCTCTAGGCTTGTAACTGTATTTAATTTCTGCCTTTTCTTCAGTTGCCATGCCAAGAGTTTGCCACATTTATTTGCCGATTCAAAAGTCTTTTGCTTCATTTGCTTTATCTTCCATTCAATCTCTTGGTTCATCAATTCCATATATTGTGTTTGATACAGCTTAATCTCTCTTAGGATGTCCTGAGACTTTGGTTTTGTTCTTAATTTTCTCTCTCCTTCCTTTATCATTTCCAAAATCTTTTCTTTTTTCTCATTCTGTTTTTTCCTCTTTATTGAATTTTGTTGTATCAAAAATCCTCTCATTACCGCCTTACTTGCGTCCCAGATCACTCTTTTCTCCACGTCGGTCCTCAGATTTATTTCAAAGTAGTCTTTTAAAGTCTTTTGGGCCTTCGTGAGAATCTCCTTATCTCGAAAGAGGGTGTCATTCATTCTCCATCTAAATTGACCAGTTATTGTAATTTTCATCTCCATCTTCAGGGCGTTATGGTCGGAGCAAGTTTTTGGACAGATTTCCACTTTCTTAATCTTTGGAGCCATTCCACTAGTAATCCAAATTTGATCGATTCTTGTCCAGGTCATCATTGCTTGGGAGAAGAAAGTTCCCTCTCTCTCCAGAGGGTTCCTTGTTCTCCATATATCTATCAAGTCCATATTTTCTGTCATTTCAAAAAAAGTCTTAGGGAGTCTCCCTTCCTTGCTAACTATTAGTCTTTGTGCCTTGTCCATATTAGTGGAGACCACGCCATTCATGTCTCCCATGATTATCATATTGTAATCCAGATAGTCAGTCAGGGTTTCGTGAAGTCTCTTAAAGAAGTCAGATTTGCCTTCATTCGGTGCATAAATTCCAACCACTAAAAATTTTTCTCCTTGTACTTGTATTTCCACTGCCAGATATCTCCCTTGTTCGTCCTTAAATATCATTTTTGGGGCCCATTTCTCTTTCACATATATTACAACTCCTCTTTTCTTAACTTTATCTGATGAAATAAATTCTTGTCCTAGCCTTTTGTTGATGAGTAGTCTCCTGTGGGCTCTGGTTATGTGGGTTTCTTGTAGACATATCAAGTCCAGTTGTTCTTTGTTCAATATATGGAATACTTGTCTTCTCTTCAAAGGCCCATTAAGCCCATTACAATTCCAACTAAGGAATTGCAGAGCCATCTTGTTATTTTTTTACACTCCTCCAACAGCTCCAAGTTGTTGCTCTTCTTCTGATGGTGGTGGTTTTTGTCCGATCGAAAGGTTCAAAATCTCCAATGCTCTCCTCTGTTCTGCAATTACGTCCACAGTCCCCTTCTGTAGGTCCTCCTGGTTTCTTGCCAGAAATTTGTCCTTGTCTTGAATTGTCTTTATCTTCACCTTCTTTAGCTTGTAGTCGAATGACAGTCCTTGTGGGAACTCCCACCTGAAGCGAATGGAGTTTTTCTTTAACAGAAGAACCAAATCCTTGTAGAAGTTTCTTAAATCCAAAATATATTTTGGGATGTCTTTAAAGATCTGTACAGCTGAGTTTCCAATTCGCAAGGCCTTTTCAAAGTGCAGTCCTAATATTTTATCTCTTTCCTCCTTGGATCTGAGTGTGATCAAACAGTCTCTCGGGGTCTTTCTGTCTTGCTTTTTACCTAATCTGAAAGCTGTCGTAATTTTAACTTCGTCTTCCTCAAGGTCCCAACAATCCGCAAACTCACGTGTCAAATATTCCACAAGATTGTCTCTTTCATTCTCCGGAATCAGTCTTAATTTCAAGTTTCTCTCTTTTCTCTGTAGGTCCCACAAGGCCAAGGTTGCATCATGCTCATGAACCTTCTTAGCAATCGGCTCTAGTTTCTCCTGTGTCTCTCCAGCAGTCGCTTTAGCCTCTTCAGCAATTTTACGCGTGGTGGCGTTTTCTTCCACCAATTTATTTATGGATTCTGTGTTCTGGTTTAATCTTACCGATATTTCTGTTAATTTTTGTGTATTCTCTGAAGTCTGTTTTGTCAAAGACTCCAGAGTTTGGTTTATCTTGAGCAGAGCATCTGTCACAGCTTCCATAGAAGCGGCTGTTCCTTTATCTTGTCCTGTTGTTCCTGCTAGTCCGGCTGTTACACCTGAAATTGAGCCTCTTTTCTTTGTCTGTAGCTGCTGCAGCTGTTGTTGTTGTTGTTGCTTGGTCTTAGCTCTTGTAACAATCTCTTCTTGTGAGCCGCTCATGTCAAGGTCAATTCCCACGGTATTTGTTCTTCGTTGGAAAATTCCACTGTCTTAGGCCGTGCCGGACTTTACTTTATCCTCTAGAGGGAGCAAATCAAAATGGCCATAGAACAAAATGTCCCAATACAAAGACAAAGGAGAGTATCCAAAAATATAAAAAAAAAGGAGGCTTAACACAAACCAAGTCAATATTTCAGAAAACTTGCAACTTCAAATTGCCACAGTTGCCCAGTTTATACTGCTTCTTCTTATAATATACTGTAGCCAAGCACTGTGAAAACTTTGTAACAAAGTGTCACTTTACAGGAAAAAGTCAGTTCAGTGTCCCAGAAAGGCAGACCGTTTCATGCTTTCAGTAGGTGAGACAGCAGAGATTTTTTACTTCAAATAAATCATGCAATTAATAGTCTCATTCACCTCCCCTCTGCCCTGCTAGCTAGAGGGGAGATCAAAGGTCTAAATGTCCGGTTTAGCTGATCAAAGAGCGGGTTTCAACGGATGCAAGTTTAGAGTTCCGTTGCTTTCACTTTCATGCAGTCGGGGGGAGGCAGACTTCCTTGATTTAAATCTCCCCGTTTTCAGCCTAATTTTACAAAATTTAGAAGGTCCCGATTATTTTCCAGCTCTTACTCACGGGAATTCAGTCCAGATTTACTTTTCAGGAAGGAATCGGCGCTCTCCGCTTATGGCGACGCGGCTTCACTTCGCAGGCTGGGTAGCGACTCTCAGCACCGCGCTCACTCCCGATGTCGATCCGTAGCCTTTAAAAAGGCTCTTTCACGGTACCGGGGGGCGCAAAGGTGCCCACCGAGTCTCCTTGTTCTCAGGCTTCAGCGCCTGGGATTTTAGGGGTCCCCCGCTTGCCGTAGCGGGTAAGACCCGAACTTGCGAAGCAGTCCTTCTCCGGAGCTCGGAGGCAGGACCGCCATTAAGCGCTGGCACCGACCGGAAGTAGCTGAAGAAGAAGGGACCTTTTGTGATAGTCACCTTAGTTACTTAGGTACTGTTTTAGGGAGACAACTTAACTCTGCCGCATCTTTAGTCCTGCCACACACAGCAGCCAGGGTGAAAGGGAGGGCAAGCAGATCACTGCACTGGCATGGAGCTGGTGCAATGATCAGGCCTGGATCAGGCCTCCTGCCATCATGTGATGGCAGTCAGATTGTTTCAGGATCCAATAGATCCCAAGTTTGCTCAACACCCACCTCCATGCCCCAGAATGCCAACATACAGTGGGCAAAAGGAGTAGCTATGTATGGACTGGCCGGATACAGAGGAATGGTGGAAGGGACCAGCTAGGGAACCCCCAGGGAAAGAAGGCTCAGAGCCCAGGGATTGGCAGTGTTCAGAGGGAGAAGAGGGAGAGGACTGGAGGGAGGAGGTGTTGGAAGCTGAAGAGCTAACAGGGTTCAGTGAGCGGGAAGAGCCTCTGGCAGAGAGAAGTCCAGAAGGAGAAGCAGGAGAGGAAGGAGGCCAAGAGGCAAAGATGAGTCAGGTTGGTGAAGAAGCCAGGGTATCTCCCCCTCCTGCTGCGACAAGCTCTCCTCCCCTCTCAGATTGCTTGGGAAAACCTGGGAGTGGAGGAGACTTAGGCAGCTGTGGGAAGGCAAGGACTTTCAGTCTCCACCTCATAGGGGCAAGACCAACCAAGAAGAGTTGCTGTACCGATTAGACCTGGTACTCCTGAGCGGACCTTGCTTCTTCTAATAGTTAACTCCAGTTATTCCATGTGATTTATTGCTGGCTGGATGCTGACACTCTGCTCCAGTGACCCTGGCATCAGCCTGCAGGTGGCCAATGGAGGACAGCAGAGCTGGACAACTCTCCCCAATCCAAACCACCACCCCAAAGCAGGTTTGGACTGCTCTCCCAGAAAGTTACAGGGGTGATTTGGTTAAAATTGAGGAGCAGGGCTTAAGGATTTCAGCAAGCTGCTCTTTTTTACTCACCAGCCCCCAAATAATTTAAGAACTGTTTCAGCAACAGTATACTTCCACCAGATGCTTGAGACAAACAGATCCTGTGCTGCCTTTTAAAAAATCTATATTTTCATATATTCTAGCTTTACCTTGATCATGGCACCGCATCGCTCTTCCCCAGTGATTGACTTGTGATGAATTAAAATGTTTGCACCTATTTCTCTCCCTCCCTCCTTCCTTCTCTCTCTCTCTCTCTCACCCACCCACACACACACACACACACACATCCTGCTTATTTCAGTCTGGAAATAAGAATGACAAAGGGCCATGGTAAATCACTCAGTCGTGCATTAGCCTTTCCATACCTGGCAATCCTCGCTCTCCGGGTTCGCCTTTCTCCCCTGGGGTGGCAGCACAGCAATCGCAGCAGTTAAAGAAGAAGTCGGATGAGTCGAGGGTGAAGTTTTCAAAAGGGAAGAGAGTGGTGGCTGTTCGGAAGGCGTAGTTTGGAGTGGAGAGCTCCAAGGTGGAGTCGCTTGTCTCTGCTGGTTCAGTGAAATGGTTGTCTTCAGTGGGTGAAGCATCAGATGCACCAAGGCCGTCTCCGTCTTCCACGCCAGCCACTTTTATCTTTGTGAACTTGGGCGATGGGGTACTTTTGCCCTCTGTGCTCAGTTTAGCAACAGTGATTACCACTGCCAAGACAGCACACCACCAGTGCATGCTCCACATTTCTGCAGCTGCTGGAAAAGATTGATGCAACAGTCACACCTTCAGAGTATTCCTACTATTTCTACCACTACTAGTAAATATATATATATATTCCCTTCCCTTCACCAGCAGGTCCCATGGAGGGTTACAACAATTCAGAATTAAACGCAGTTACAGCAGATTACAGTCGCAGGAGTAGGATGGGTCCTGGAAAGACATGTCTCAGGTGCCAAAGGCTTGTGTCTTCATCATCTGCTGAAAGCTGCATAGCAAAGAAGCCAGGACCATCTTTCCAAGAAGGCAATTCCACAATTTAGCGGCTACCACAGATAATGCCCTCTCCTTGGCCACCGCCACCCCCATTTCTGAGGAAGATAGAAGCACCAAGAAGAGGACAGTTCTGCTGACCTTAACATCTAGGAGGATCCAGAGGGATTTGGGTGACACACTCTCAAATATTTGGGGCCTAAGTCATTTAGATCTTCAAACGCTAATGTGTTTTGCTGAAATAGCAAGGGCTTCTACCTTGTATTTGCTGAAATAGCAAGCTAGTGCACAGTTAACATTGCCTCTAGGTTCGCCACCTTGCACCAAAAGATAGCAAGGCCTGACTCTTAAAGCACTGTAGGTCTATCTCAACTAATTAAACATTTCTTTACCCTATATGCTTCCTTATGCATAGCCTTTCTTTATCTCTAATAACATTGGCCCACACCAAAGCAGCTGCCTGGGGACCATTAAAAAAAAAAATTTTCCACACTCCACTCAGTTACCCAGTCCCTGCTCTTTCCTACACAAGATAAGAAAACTCTTCCAAGAACTAATTAATCGCATGAGTACAAACTATCAAATACGCAGGACCGTTGGCTTCAGGAGCGGCGCCGGTTTCAGCATTATTTTCATTACAGAGCCCCAATTATGTTCTCCATAATAACTGCGTCCTTTTATCAGAACAGCCCAATCTCTGTGGTCAGTTGTATCTCTTAGGTCAGGGCTTGGCCAGTTGTCCATATTTTTTTCCCTTTGACCTATAAACAAGATGGGCAGAACAATCCAAAACTCCAGCTTCTGCTGGACTGGAGGGAATTGGATTGCGTACAAGTGTCCCCTCTGCCCAGCTCTGGTGTCTGAGTCTGCCTTCCCCTGACCAATGGAGTAAAGCAAGTATTACTTTCCTTGTGAGGAGCTTCCCCTTCCACCCTCCAAATGTAAGAGTGGATGGAGAGGTAGGTGTGACAGTCAGAAGGCCCTGAAATGAGGGAGAGAGGAGGAGGGACTGAACCAGCCTTGCATCTATTGGATCCTGAGTTGGTCTGACTGCTCTTGCAAGGCACCATTGGGTCCGATCACTGTGCCAGTCTGAAAAGGATCACTTGTGTGCATATACTGGTAGGTGCATAGGCTCCCCACATAGTCAGAAGCCACATGAAGTTCACAATTACACAGAAAGCCTTCCGTAGGGAGAGGGAGAAATTCAGATCCCAGTTAAAGACAAATCGGTCAAGCTGAACTGAAACTGAAATGCAGCCATCTGTAGACACCTGCAAATTCTGCAATGCAGTTCTCCGACCAGTGTTTACAAAAGTTGATGTAGAAATGTGGTGAACTTAATTTGAGATTGGGAAAATGAGAAATAGAGGGAAGTGAAAATGACAGATCCTTCCATCTCTAGTGTTTAGTTAGACATTTTCTTCTGAGACAGTCTAAGGGAGAAGGCAATAATTTCAGAACAGCTAGAACACACTATAGAATCTGGAGAGCACCGGTTTAGAGAAGACTGGGCTAGCATCTTGTTTTTCTAATGAAAACTGAGAGTTCAGGAAAGGATCCTGGAATATCCCTGAGTGGGGCAGGCCCCCACTGCCCTCCCTGTAGGGATGGCATTGGCTGGGGCTACAGCCAATCATGGTTTCCTCATAAGTGGCACGTATATTTGGAAATGCGCGTGCATCTCAGGCTTTCTATTTTTAGGTGTACACTTGAAGCATGTGAAGCTTTCACAAAATGTAACATAAAGTAGCTCTCCAGTGCATGCTCAACAGGGAGAAACAGTCGATTCCATCTCCCTGGCTTTTTTTCAGCCGGAACTCTCCAGAATGGTGTTCCAGCACCTCTCAACTGGGCACCGGACTCGTGGGGAGAGAACTGACCAGCCTCAGCAAAGCCCTACTGCACCTCTGGCTCATGAGGAGTTCCTCTACAGATCCCAAAGGGAACATCCTCTACAGTCTCCAGAGAAGGTCTCTTCACAAGCTGGACGTGCAGCTCAGCTTTGCTGAAGCTCGTCAGCCTCCCAGCTTATAGCTGCTGTGTGGGGAAACCGTGTCTTATCTGATCAAGCCCCCATGCTGCTCTGGCTCACAGGAGCTAAGTAGGCGGGGGGGGGCTTGATAAGCTGCTCAGCTGAGGCACAGAAACCTCTCTCCATGTCTCAGCAGAGCAGCCTCAACAAGCCTCAAAGATCCTCTTTGGGGTGGGTCTTCTGAGGAAGGTGTGTTCTGGCACCTTTTTCTCTAGGAAAAAGAAAAGGCACTGATTATACTTGTCTGGTATAAGTACTTCTTTGTCCTACTCCAATAGCTACATTTTTAGCTATTCTTTTAAAAAAACTGTGTGAAGAAGCCTTTAATGCCTGCTATCTATTGCATCTTGTATGGCTGATTCATTTATACCAAGAACCAGTGAATTCCATTCATATGTTTAAGGCAGGGGGCCTTCTTGGTAGTGGCACCCGCTCTGTTGAACCCCCTCCCATCAGAACAAATGCTGTATCTGACTTTTAGAGGACATCTGAAGGCAACCCTGTTTAGGGAAGTTTTTAATGTTTGATGTTTATCGTGTTTTTAATATTCTGTTGGGAGCTGCCCAGAGTGGCAGGGAAAACCCAGCCAAATGGGCAGGGTATAAATAAATTATTATTATTATTATTATTATTATTATTATTATTATTATCTGGGGGGGGAGAGGTATCACATGGAGGAGGAGAGGGGAGTCGTGTTTGGAGAAAAAGCACTCATCTTTCCGGTGAGGAATCTTTGACAATTGCCCATGGGTATGATTTTAGAGAAACCCTTAAAAACATGAGACTGCAAACTCACTATGCGAGGAGATTAGTGCCTTGGGCTGCATTTTCTTGACATTTCCCTAACTTTTTAATTTCTGCATTACGTTTGCGCTTTCGCGTGACACAAAAAAAAAGCCACTTCCAGAAATACAGCAAAATGTAGCACGTGTTTAGCACTCATTTCCGGGGCGGGGGAGAGTGGAGTTTGCAAATAACATGGAAATGAGAGATAACTTTGTGTTGTGCTTCAGTATCCCTAGTGAACCAGCCTCCACTGGGTGGATGGAGCCTAGATGTGTGATCCCACTCCATAGTCCACACACAGGCTGCAACCTTCTCCATGGTACTCCAGAATCTGTCACCTGAAAATTCCTCAGGTCTTTGGATCCCTTGAAACAACAGACCGCCTTGTTATGCTGTTTTACATCCAGTCTGCAGTTGTGGAAATCTGCAGCTGTGGAAATTTCAAATCAAAAGAAGATCAAGCATGAGATCCGATACTTGCAGCAATACACACCCACTGATACAACATTGACTACTCCAACGTTCTTTTAATATTTCAGGAAGACAGTTGCCTTTGTTAGAAGTCTGTCAGTTCAGAATTCCAGGCTTTTTACAAGAGGACAGAAAGAACACAACCAATATCCAGCTCAATTATCTTTTCTCCACTGCGACATTACTAATACCAACTTTAATAAAACTTGGGGAAAAAACATCTGGTGCATAAGGTTGAGTGAGCAAGAACATTCTGAGCAGCCGAAGAACATTCAGAGTAGCTCATTCAGAGGACGGCACAGCTGAATCCCTATCAGAGATAATTCCATAATGATGATCAAGTCAAGCATAATTACACACGTTGAAAGGTTTTAATAGGAAGGAATAAATGGAAGCAAAATTAGGCCCTTTTTACTCAGTGCATTAGGAAGGTGCAGTCATCTTTGGACCATATCTGATTCTCCATTTTCATAAAATTTCACATAAATTACTTATTATGGACATCTTGGGTTCAGGAAGGGTGGTGAGAAGACTAAAAAAGAACTCAGCACATTGTTTCACAGATTTCCTATCTATAAAAAAATACAGTGGTACCTTGGGTTAAGTACTTAATTTGTTCTGGAGGTCCGTACTTAACCTGAAACTGTTCTTAACCTGAAGCACCACCTTAGCTAATGGGGCCTCCCGCTGCCACCGGAGCACAATTTCTGTTCTCATCCTGAAGCAAAGTTCTTAACCTGAGGTAATATTTCTGGGTTAGCGGAATCTGTAACCTGAAGCGTATGTAACCTGAAGTGTACGTAACCCGAGGTACCACTGTATACTTTTTTCAGGGAGTGCGGCTCCCCTCAAAAACATGCAATGCACAATATGTGGTTTCATACAGTCCATTCAAATATAAGATGGTACATTATGAGGAGGCAGCCCCAATAGCCATGCAGGGGGCTTGTGTGCAGTGTCATGTGTGTCCATCCTCCCCCCCCCCCCGCGAGCTGTAATTCACACACACACAAGGATTGGGGGGGGGTTGAAATTTTGTCACATAACCGAAAATGACAACCACTATTTAAACAATGACAGCTTGTTTTAAGAACAGGAGAAAATTTATAATAGGATCCTCTGGAAAATTCAGGGCTGCTTGGTGTTATGAAAAATCTTGAATTTTGTTTTCCTTCAGTGTTCGCGAAGAAAGTTATTGAGATTCTAGAACCTGTAGATAAGGTCTCACAAGCCCAAGAAACGTGGCAGGGGGACTTTTTTTGTATTGATGTTGTCATGACACAAAATTCATTTGAATTTTTGAGAAACGAGCTCCACACTAGTTTTTAAATTGTTAATCATAGCATAAACTATTTTGCTTGAATTACACCTTCTGGTACCCCCTGGGTCACCTGTATCGTAAGCATTCTTTTTTCTTATGAAGCAAAAAAAATATGTGGGTCATTTAATTCCTGGTGTTCATACTAAATTTCT